TTTCTCCTCTGTCTGAACGCCCATGCAGCAACAGCAGACGGCTGTTCACACAGAGCCTGGTCCTGCTAAAGGTTTTTTCCTGAGTTTTACTTTCCACTGTCGCTGCATCTTTGCTCAGAGTGATGGACTGCTGTAGAGTCAACAACCCAATGCAAGCAAATCTAATGTCTCTACCTGCTCATCCTGGTGGAGAGGATCCTGCAAAGTCAATGTCTAGATGCTGGTGAAGATTCTTAGTCATCGAGGTCATAGTCAACAAACCACTGGATTTTGTTTTCCAAGTTTGAAGAGGTTTCGCTTCCCATCCAGAAAGCTATCTCAATTCAAAAAGTCTGGTGTAGCGTTGAGTTCCAGGCTCATAGAGTAGCCCAAACAAAAGCCTTGTTATGGCTTAGAAAACATGCAGATGTCCATCCCTTCGTAATGGGGAGTCGTTGGCTGGCCCATGCCCCTGAAAAGGGGAGTCGCTACGGTTGTTTTTGGCCTGGCTCATGGGCGTAGGTTTGCATAGGGACCATGGGGACATGTCTCTACCAAAATTTTGGACTGACCTATTTGTCCCTACCAATAATTTTATTTGAATAACATGTTTATAATTTACAATTCAGCGTGGTGCATCACAAACAGCCATTGTGTGTGATGATCTCCGTAGCTCAGTAGCTGCTGCTGAGTGTTTACCGGTCTTTCCTGTCCCTTAAATCAGTAACTGAGCTGTTTAACTCCACTCTCATTGGTTGTTCTGCCTCATAGTTCTGCCTTCACTCTTCCTGATTGGCTGTTTTCTAGTCCACATGCGAGTGTGCGTGCTTGGAGCATGAAATAAGAATTTTATTCATGCTAGTTACTTAAATTAATATTAGGCTATGAAACTAGTCCTAATATAAAAAAAGTAATTCTATCTACACTAAAACAGGTGAAAGCTGCTGATAGCTGATTTTTAGCCACAGCTGACTGAAAAAGAAAATGTGAGGGTTTCCCTTTTAACAACACTTCATTGTTATTACCGTTTTCATTTAATGACGACCCTTTGAGAGAATTTAGCTATAAATAGCAGGTGTTATTTCTTTTCTAGAGTAAAACAACACGACATGGTGCCTAAACATCTGCTATTTTTTGTTTAGAAAGCATAATTACGGTTCCACATAATATTGCTATTTCTTTGACTATTTCTACTTTTGAAAATAGGATAAAGCCAATAACAAACAGAGGAACACTATTTACATTGATTTTATTTTAAATAAATTTCCACACAGTCCATAAGTTAATTATTACAAACATTAGTGTTTGGTAAAAGTGTTTGAATCCAGCTGTTTATTTTAAATATTATTATATTACAGAGAAGATGGTGTTATATTTTCTTTTAATAATTGTTAAAAGTGATTTTATATTGGAATAAATTTAGTCCCATTCTTAGTGTTTTGTTTTGTAAATGATGCCACTAAATAAATGTATTTGTATCCCTTCAATGCGTTATTTTGCGTGATACAGAGAGAGCATTTAAAAAATAAGAGTGTTTCACCTGTTTAATTTTGCACAATTATATATCTTCAAAAGAAAATACAGGATAAATTCACATATAACGGGCATATTTAGACTATATTTGGTTAAATAGGCATAATTCTAGTTCTACATTAATCAGAGCCGGTGACGCTTCATATATTGATAAACAACATCTAGTGTGTGTAGCGCTTATAAAATTTTTATAAATGTAGCAAGAAACACTGCCTTTCTCTTTAAACGAAATGCACCCTGATGCTCACGTCAAGCATTAAAAAAAGCATGCATATTTTTGCATAGGTAAAATGACATTAATGAAACTTAGGACCAATAGTGTCCCTACCAAAGTGGAAATCAAACCTACGCCCTTGGCCTGGCTAAACAGGCAATATGTATTGATCCCCTGCATGGCGATGAGGATTGAAATGATAGTGGGAAGAAAGCAACTCTATCACTTGGTTTTGCTCTCTTTACATAAATGGCTTCCTTCACACCCCTTTCAAACCACCTGTCTTCTTGGTCCAAAATGTGAGCAGTCTGGTCCTCAAAAGAATGTCCTTTGTCCTTCAGGTGTAGAAGGACAGTGGAGTCTTGTCCAGAGGAGGTAGCCCGTTTTGTTTGGCTTAAAATGTATCGGGATTTTTAGTTTCGATAAAATCCAAACAAACTCCCGCAACAGATGGCGATATCTTTGCTTAATCTTCTCGCCGTTATGACGCTGCTGCGTGTCTTTTGGATTTCCTTGCTGATTTGACAAACGCCCAGTTAGGGTGTCCACAATTTTGGAGAGCATCTTTGATGTGTTTCGTTTCTTTGTACTTCCCTTCTGTTTTAGTAGGGACAGTAGTCTTTGTCAATGTCTGGATGCAATCAGCTGTATGAATGAAAGAGTCTTCTATCCTCCAAAGCAGATTCATACAGATAGGGCCATTAAAACAACATGCGAGCAGTCAGAGCCGCAGTTTACCTTTTCATGGAAAACCCTCTCTTACATCATCCTCCTGCATCATGCAGATTACTGTAGGGTATCTAACATGGCCAGGTTCAGAGATCACTGTGAAACACCAGACCTGTCAGTCAGGCTCCAGATGAAAAGAAGACAGAATAGTGAGAACTGGAACAGGTACTGGTAAATTAATGTTCCGCCTAGTCTCCCTTAGAAATACTAAGGCCATTTTGCTGGAGAATGATCTGCCTGGATGGTAAAAAAAACTAGTTCTAGTAAAGGCTTCTTCATCATCATCATGTCCCAGAAGGTCAGTAGGATCTCAAAACATACTCACACTGGGTTTGATTAAGGTAAATCAAACTAAACAGTCACATTTCAACGTACTTTTTTTTTTTGCTTGGATTCCTGCAATCTATGGTGTAACGTTCCCTTTGTATACTTAGACTTGGACAACTTTGGATCTGCTTGTAGCTGCTGTCTACAGGCGCAGCCATCTCGCTGCCATAAATTATGAGGTTTTTGTATGGCAGTACATCTAGAACTGTGCATCAAATGTTGTGCCAGAGGCTTTTTGTGCAGACGCAAATTTTAAAGGAAACGTCCTGTCAGCAAGGAATAATCAATGGATCATCATCTATACCTAAAACTAATATGTCCACGGTAATTTAATGAAGTTAGGGTTAATTAGTAAAAAAAAGAAAAAAGGAAAGTAATAATTTTCTTTGCAATAATGGTACCAGCCATTTTTGCCCAAATATAGAAACACCTCACTCCTGACATCTTCCTGCAGTGACGTCATGGTGATTTAAGCCTAGCGCCATTCTCCCGACTTTACAAGCAAAATCAGTGGGAACTACTAGACACATCTGCAGTCATCAATTTCGAGAGGACTTCACCATTGAAATTCACCAGAGCTATAGTGAAACTGACAATGCCCACGTGCATGGCAGTTGGATGTTGGAATACATCGGGTAAAAGTGAAATAAAGAAATAGTTATTTCATCTTTCTGATTCCGGATCCTCCATGGACGGGTTCGTAGTTGGATTGCCAACTTGAAGAGGAAGGATTTACCATCGAACTTCTGGCCAGAAGCCAGAAAAAACACGTAATATGTAGCCAACATTTGGAAGAAGAATGTTTTCAAGATGACTTGGATAATAGCGCGTTGTGACAAACACCAGATACAGCACTGGGACTTGATCAACAGCCGATGCCGCACCGTTACGTCACAAACCGGTAGGTGGAAGTAGTGTCCTTTGACAAACATGGATGTCTCAAGTAAAGAACATTCAAAAGAAAATTACTCTGAATTAAAAACACTGATCATTTATTGAACAGTATGTGATAATCTTATATTTAAAGTAATTTTTGAAGTTTACATTTTTTGTTTTAAACATGGGGCTCCATTAAAATACTCCAAGCTGATCGTTATCGTTATCAGCTTGGAGAGCAAAGTTTGGTATCTTCTAAGGAAATCCAGCTGATTGCATCCAGTCAGCTCTTGGATGAGCATTTAGAGACAATAGATATCCTCTGGCATTACGTTGTTGACTCTACGGTATACCCTCAAATTGTGCATGCATGTAGCGACGGGGGGTGGGGTGCGGTGGTGGGGAATTCCAAAAAAGTAAAAAAAAAAAATGCACTGGATTTTGTTTCCAAGTTTGAAGACGTTTGGCTTCCTGGAAGCTTTTTCAATAAAAAAATATCAGAAATAGCATTGAGTTCCAGGCCCAACAAAGCCTTTTTTTATGTTTAGAAAACATGCAACTAAAACAGATGAACGGGTCAAGCATCAAGTTTAAAGACGTGTCGCTTCCTGAATGGGAAGTGACTTGTCTTCAAACTTGGATAAAAAGACCAGTGTATTGCTTTTTTAACTTATTTGGAATGACTATGACCTGGATGACTGGGAATCTTAACCAGCATACCTTCACCAGGAAGAAACCTATACAATAACTGTAAGAATTAATAATATTAACTGAACTTTATTGATCTCACATTGGAGAAATTTACATCTGCATTTAACCTATCCCCATGGGGAGCAGCGGGCTGCTATTGTGGTACGCCCAGGGGAGCAGTGTGGGGTTAAGGATCTTGCTCAGAGACCCAGAGTGGCAGTCTAAGGGAGTTGGGCTCAAACTCAGAAACTCAGGATTCCACGCTCTATGCACTAACCAAAAAACTCAAAAACAACTGGATCAGTTATAGGTCCCTGTTTGTTTTGGGTCTGTAATTGAGTTGTATATGTGAGTAAAGCAGAGCCTTCATGACTACCATGATTGTTCTGCCATTAACCTAGTGGAAACACTATAAAAAGACCCATCTGCTTTCTGAATATCTAATAAAGAAAACAAATTAAGGCAGTTACTGTATATGGTAGTGAGTTTTACTCCAGTTAGATTAGAGTGGCTTCAGGTAACCAACACAATAATCTTTGAAAAGGGGAGTGGTCTGAGAGTATTTTAAATGCTGGAGCACCATTGGAGGGACAGCTTCCTTCACCCAGGAAACATACTCAGCCCACTCATCCTTTGCTGCCCCACGACTCACCTCCCTGCCCGTTAGGATGTGGCGGCCCAGCTTTACTTTGGCAAAGTTACCCTTGCCAATAGTCTTGAGCAGACGGTAGTTCCCAATGTGTGGCTGCTCATCTGAGCAGGAAGCGATGGAGTTCCTGCACCGTGCACCCAAAGAGCGGCTGGACTGGCTTGTGGCCTTGTCTGAGCGGCTGGCACCGAGTGGCACATGCTGCAAGAAAAAAGGAGAGCGTGAGAGTGGAAAGAGTATCCCCAGCTATGCCAGCACCAGTATGACATGCTGCTACGCTACTACACCATGGAGAACTAGTTTCTACAAGCTGCTGTTTGGTCACAGCGTAATAGTTTAAAGCTCAAAAATATCTCTATCTTAATCTATTGAACTTGATTAACAAAACCTGGTATTTAGGACAGTATTTTTATTTGTTAATAGGAATTCTGTTGAGAAATTTATTGAGCTTTTGTCGAGTCTGGTGTAAGTTATACACTGCAAAAACATTCTAGAAATAAGTTAGAGTTTCTTAAATTATTTGTATTTACCCTAAATTATAGTAGGTAAATAAGATGATTTGCCAATGGAATTTTTTTTACATTTTAAAATAAGATTATTAAATAATACGCACTTGAAATAAGACATTACAATTGTTTTTTTCATGTTTTTAATGTAAATTGTCTTGTTTCATTGGCACTTACCTTACCTCCTCAACACAAAACTTATTTGAAGAAAAAATTATTCATATAGAGTTAATTTTTTTTGCAGTGTACCCACTTAGATCAAGTTTTTATTGCCTAATGCTCCATGCAGACAGATTGAAAGCTCTAAGAGAAGAACTCTGCTGTAATCTTTTCAGCTTTTGTGTGACCCGCTAAACAATCAACAGATCTTTCCAACAGATTCTTACTCCTATTACTGAACATAGAGGGAAAAGTGGACTTGGACTCGTTTCCTCTGTATCAGTGTGCACACTTAAAAAGTGCTAATAGCACTGAGGTGACTTACAGATGATTGTGCGTTTTGTGCAGCTTAAACGAATGGCTGAAGGCCCACTGGCCAGGCTGGCAGAACAACATGAAAAAACAGTTTTACAGAAGCTACAGTGACTTCTAGAACACATAGAAGCATTTGAGATTGTGTTGCTGAACAGATGTGGCTGTGAGGCTGTGTTTGTGTGCATGTTGAGGGGGGCGGGCATTGCTTTAAACGGTGGTGGCCACATTCAGCAGCTGTTTAGTTCAAAAACAAGTGAAGCTGGGCTGAACTTGTTTCTACGTAAACAGCTGCCGTCCGGAACGTGAGCATATCATCTCTGCTTTGGGTTCAGCAGCATCTTCTGCTGTGTGCAGATGGAAGCATTTACCCCTTGGTTTTTGATTTAATTAGACAATTGTTTAGTGCTGATTATGAGGTACAGAGTTGGAAAGATTCTGATTTCTTTGGTGTGATGCAACAGATTTCTTGCAGTAAACTAAGTTTTATTTCATTTATTAAAGTGGATTTAGAGTAAAAGAGAAGTCTAACACTAGAATGACCTTTTGGTCCCACAGTCACAGCCGTCCCCCCGTCACTCCGAGGCCAGGCTAACTATCAACACCGGATTAACTATAGTAACAGTAGTCCGAGACACATGGAGGCCATCTTGGATTTGTTTTTGTTTCTAGACGAAAAGCATATATTTGCAGATGTAGCACCACTCAGAGTCCTCAATCTGAAGCTCATCCCTGTTCCTGCATGAATTACGGTCTGTGGAGCTTTGAAAGGCCTCCATCTTAGGGACGTATTTACCATTAGGCAAAACTAGGCAGTTGCCTAGGGCTTTAAGTCCCTGGAAGCCCCATAAAACACATTTTGCATGTATGGTTAATGCAGCTATTACTTATTTGCGCACATTAATTATGTTTTGATTAAAAATAATTTCGCTAAAATGCTCTGGTTGGTGACAACATCTAAAAGCAGCGAACTCTGCTCTCCAGAGCAAGTAGATTGGTAACCCCGCCTCCTGCTCTCCTCTATCTTGTCTGCTGTCATGATTCGTGCAGCTATTATTTCATCCAAATGAAAAATGGAGAACAGATAAGCAGATCATGGCTTGTCTACAGTGAAAAGAAGGACTGGGTTATTTACTTTGGCCTTTTTGGAAACACAGGATGGAGCAATCAGCTAAGTGAGCTTAGTGCTTGGAAAAAATCTTTCATTCCTTTAGAGACAGCATGAAAAGTCAGCTGAGTACAAAACATAGAGAGGAGAACACGAAGAAAAGGGACAAGAAGAGAGGGACACAACCTAGAACAGATAATGGATGTCTATTCTATTAACGTGTCTCTATCTTTAGAATGGGTCTGTTCTATGTGCTGTCTTCTCAATTCAGAGGGCCCCCTGCCTGTCTTTGCCAAGAGCCCCAGATTTCCTGAATCCGCCCCTGCCCACCATTAGACTACTTTGGAAACTGGGAGCAGCAGAGTTTGTCAGAATGGCTTAATTATACCGAAGGTTGACAGCAGCTTCAGATAGACGGACAGACAGACACTACTGTGGAAGATATGTATGGCCTGACTCTAGGGCTGGGCGCTTTGTAGGCTGCGCAGCGACAGACAGCCCATAATTTTTACGCAGTAATCCCCTCCACTTCTTACCACCAAGCCCACATATTCTCTATGCATTTATTTGGGCCTCTTGCACTCGTTCCGCCCTTCGACCAGCGCAAACACACACAGAGGGAGAGCAAGAGGAGCAATTGGTACAATGTGACATCACAATCTCTCAAAAGCGGAAAGCACATAGGTGACGGACCGGGCTTTCGGCGCATATTCGCTGAGCTGCCATCAGTTGCACCAACACGCACTCAAGGTTAGCACATCCTGGGCCCCTTGATCCACACAAGAGAGGGAACAGCCCTGTGCATGATGCACCCCATGCGTGGAAGGAAAAAAAAGCCCGGAATGCCAAAGGCCACACAAGCAGATCTGTGCTCGGAGATGATCGGTCCATCATCATCTGCATGAACACAGGCATAAACAGTGGCTGAACTTACATGTTCCCCTGCGCTCCTGTCGTTCCCAGATTGTAATGCAGATCGAGACGACATGTTTTCCTCCCCCCACCCACCCCCCGGTTTTCCTCCCCCTGTGTAACGTTCCCACTGTTTGCGAGGATGGTGTTTACAGGATCCACAGACAGACTGACATCCGCAGATAGAGGCCCAGCGTCCCGGATCAATCTGCCAGCCCTCCGAGGCACCGAGCCGAGCTCCAGAGGAGACCTTTGCCTGTCATGGCAGCGATGAATATGTGGAGGAGAGGGAGAGAGGTGGGGGGTGTCCTCAAACAAGCTGCATTTTCCAGCATGCACCTTGCAAAGACAGATGTCTTTTGAACAGTCTGAATGTGCGGTCGATCAGCAACGCAGCTCGGAGCAGAATCCCCGCAAGGAAATTATGCTAAAATGATGCAATGTTTGGCCGGAGCCCAGCGTCTCTGTGGCGACTCTCCACCGCCTGCCTCATTTTGCCACCCAGAACCAACACCGCTCCATTTGGACCGCTTTCATAACAGGCAGAACGCTTCGCCTGGTCTCCGCGACGCCAGCGCGACCTGCAGAGAGGGAGAAAGGCTGAAGAAAGGGCCCCAATGTCCCCAGTCTGCTTCTCCAGCTCGATCAGATGCGCACAGAACCGTCAGAGCAAGAAAAGCAAAAACACTTAGGGACGACTTCCGTCCAAATTTTTAGAAATAAAAGCCTACCGACGCAAGTGATGGAGACATCCGCTCCGGACTACATTCTTTTTATTAGCAAGGGTTCTGAAAAACAAATCCTATATTTAAAAATTCAGGAGTTTTGTGCTTTATTTTGGGAACCGGGTCTTGACTTCCTGTTTCAACCTGCTAATCAAATAATGCTTGATGCAGTTAAGATGCGCCACATCAGAGACTGACAGGCCAGAACACCACAATTCATCCCAAGTTTTACCAACATGGATTTAATCTTTTGACCTAAGGGTCAATCTACACTGCTCCAAAAGGAAAACGAACAAGCACAACATCCATATTTTCTAAATAAAGACAAACTATACTTTTCTACAGCCTTTGCTAACAAATATGTTTAGGCATATATTTAAACATTCATGCTGTCTAAATTAAAGGTGTAGTCGACAAAATTACTTCAATTTTGCGATGTGGGGAGAACATCCTAAACATTGTCATTACTTACATACTTTTATCAGTAACCTTTCTACTTAAAATTAATATTTAAATCTACTAATATCTACACCAAATTGATTACTTATTATTAAACTAGTTATTTAACTCTGATTTCACTGAAGACTCCTTCATGACTTGCAAAGACATCATTTTCTCTTTACTCCTCATAACAAAATCTAATTCTGAAAAGAGCATACATTCTGTATCTTTTTATGTTGGCATATTGATGTGCATGATCATGATCAGGACCTGTCATTTAAATCCCATATCAAAGAGGTTTCTAGAATTTCCTTCTTTCATCTGAGAAATATTGCAAAAATGAGAAATCTCCTGTCCAGGGGTGATGCTGAGAAACTAGTCCATGCATTTGTTACTTCAAGGCTGGACTATTGTAATTCTTTACTATCAGGAAGTCCACAAGCTGTAGTTAAAAGCCTTCAGCTGATCCAAAATGCTGCAGCCAGAGTTCTGATGAAAATTAAAAAGAGAGATCATATCTCTCCTATCCTGGCTTCTCTTCATTAGCTTCCTGTTAAATCCAGAATAGAATTTAAAATCCTCCTCCTCACATATAAAGCCTTAAATGGCCAAGCTCCATCTGATATCAGAGATCTGATTGTTCCTTATGTTCATAACAGAGCACTTCGCTCTCAATCTGCAGGTTTACTAGTGGTTCCTAGAATTTCTAAAAGTAGAATGGGAGGCAGATCTTTTAGTTATCAGGCTCCTCTCCTGTGGAACCAACTACCAGTTTTAGTCCGTGAGGCAGACACCCTGTCTACTTTTAAGGCTAGGCTTAAAACTTTCCTTTTTGATAAAGCTTATAGTTAGAGTGGCTCAGGTTATCCTGCGCTAACTCTATAGTTATGCTGCTATAGGCTTAGACTTCTGGAGGACATAGGGACCCCTTTTCATCATTCTGCTTCATTCTATCTCTATTCTCCTACTCTGCAGAATCTGTTAGTTCAATCTCTAACTCTGCTTTTTCTCATAGTAGCTTTGCCTTGTCTGTTCCTGTTTGGCTGTGACGCCATCCTTGAGAGAAATATCAGCTGTGCTGCTTCCATCAACACCCTTGTTTATAGATGCTGGAGATCGGCCTGTTTTCCAATGTAGTCCAGTTTCTCTGAATGTGACTAACTGGATGTGCTCTCTTCATCCTCTGACACGGGAGCTGGCTCGGAGCTCGTCTGCCTGGCTGTGTGTTTCGTGGACGGGGCCGCCTTTTACAGCTTCTGTCTCCTTGAACCCCAGTCGGCCTCAGCAGATGGCCGCTCACACTGAGCCTGGTTCTGCTGAAGGTTTCTTCCTGTTAAAAGGGAGTTTTTCCTCTCCACTGTCGCTACAAGCATACTAAGTGTGAGGGATTGTATTTGAGTCAATGAGTCAATAAGTAAACTTTCTGAAAGAAGGGTACATGTAATATCATATGACTTTTACATACTGTTTATATGTGTGAATAGTACAGATCTGTTTACAAGGCAAGGCAAGGCAAGGCAAGGCAAATTTATTTGTATAGCACAATTCAGTACAAAGACAATGCAAAGTGCTTTACATGATTAAAATACAGGAAGATAAAACAGAATCAAAGCAAGTAGGAAAAAATAAAAGATAAATAAAATAAAATAATAATTACAGTCTATACATGTTATATTTTCCATTAACATAGATAAGATCCTTATGATTCCTAATATCATACCCTGTTTTATTTAAACATCCACATTTTCCTTTGATTATTACAATTTATTCAGAGAAAGTTCTAAAAGATATTGTGAGATTTCATACATAACCAATTCTACCTTTAACGTTGTTAATATTGTAATGCTGGGTGCTTAATATGAGCAGAGATGAGCCACAGAAGTATTAATTTGACCCTGGTGCAACTTCATCATCTTGGAAGACAAGAAACTCTTATTTGATACAGCTTGCTGTGTACCCTAAGTTATTCAAATATCAGCTCAGGTGCCACTATTGTCCTAGAAGCATTGAAAAAGTTACAGATAACAGGTCTTAGCTCATTGCTGGAAGGAAATTTTCTGGCTTGACTGTGTGTATGTCTAACATATGGTGCACGATATCTATTATGCAGTTTTATACTACCGCTGTCTTGAGGTTTCACCATGCCCATTCAGACAGTACAGTTACCTTCTCCTGGACTCTGTGCAATTCCATTTTTTCCCCCTTTGACCCAAACCTGGATCTAAAAATCTGGCTCTGTTCTAAAAATACATAAAATTTTATCTCAATAGGCCTCTGCATGACAAAATTATAAAAAGTATATTTAAGTTTATTTGTCAAAAGTAAGGCATATTTATTATGCTTGTACATATCCCAGTAGGTCAGATTTGATACTAGTCAGCAAATCCTGTTAACTTGCCACGCCAAACTCACCAAAAACAAATTTGAAATGCTTGAAAAAGTATAAAATAAATCATCCGTTATATAAACCTTGGGAGGGTCTAGCCTGGCATATCAGACTGTCGTAATTGTGAACAGTAGCATTTTGTTTGCGCAATCTTTATAGATAAGCTGTAAAAACTAAATTTTCAATTCAATTAAATTCAGTTCATTTCTATAGCACCAATTCACAACATGTCATCTCAAGGCACTTTACAGAGACAATTCACCCAGATCAGAAGTCAAATTGATTAAAAGTTTTCTATCTAAGGAAAACCAGCTAATAGCAATCCCTCACACCAAGTATGCTTCTTGCAACCGTGGAAAGGAGTAATCCCCTTTTAACAGGAAGAAACTTTGAACAGAATCACGTTCAGTGTCAGTGGCCATCTGCCAACACCAACTGGGTTTCAATATCAGGATTTTGGCAGTGATGTTTGGTCTGATTACTCATTTCACTCACCTCCCTATCTCTGCCAAGTTCTCATAACAGCTTATTTGTTCCACCTGCTTCAGTCTCTATTTTACCAGCCTTCAGACCAGTCATCAGTGACAGATTATTTCAAGCCGGTGCTGAGAAGTTCTCTAACATATTTCTAGCATATTTCGGATTTCCTGATCCTGACCTCTCGACCACTGAGCCTGCCTGTCCCCGTCTGATCTCTTTGCCTGACCTGTCTTCTGACTCCTGGCAGATCTCTGTCTACCTGTGTACCGAAGCAGTACCTATTGTTATCTGACTCCATCTGGATTCTCCTTTGGCATCTCTTTGGATTTCTGATCTCCTGACCCTGACAACTGAGCAGGTCCTCGACATCGGCTTTGGTTTCGCCTTCTGGATTATCCTGCCTACCTTCATCTGCTTGGTTCTGATCTCCGGCCTGTCCTCCGACAAATGATAAATCAACACCTGCGACTCTCTGTGTGGCAGCTACTGCATTGCTTTGGCAGCTGACCAGCTGGGACCAACCTCCTGAACTATAAGACCAGAGATTCCTGCCTAGATCACAGCGTTGCCTCGTCCGCGCCACTGAAGTAAAAGAACGGTGAGAGCAAGGGGACCATCCGTCTGTTTACGTAGCTGGTGTAATGAAAGAATCCCTTGGACTGGACCAGTTGCTGACTCTTGATAGAGTACATCAGACCCTCTGCACAAAGCCATTACATGATGATTTGCCACTAAGGGCGTTTGTGGTCAAATGTCACTACATAAAAAAGGCAGCACAGGCTGACAGGAAGTGGAAGGAGGTGGCAGGAAAAGAAATAGGTCTTCCCTATCCCCATAATAAAAATCAAATAGTTCAGAGTCAGAAGTTGGAGAAGGAACACCAATAGGATCTAACTCTATGGATGTAGGAGAGTTGTGTGTCCTGAAATGTGGACGGGGCCACCTTTTACAGCTGCTTTTTGTGTCTCTGCTTCCGTCTCCTTGAACCCCAGTCGGCCTCGGCAGATGGCCGCTCACACTGAGCCTGGTTCTGCTGGAGGTTTCTTCCTG